AAAGCAGAGGTGCTGTTTAAAAACTGTGGACTGGAGCTTTAATGCGAGAATCACTCAGCCGCTCAATAATTGGAACCAGAAACAGTCCAAGTCCCCCACAGAGAGACACACACACACACACACACACACACACCCGTATGTGTGTCACTTCCTGTTCGGAGGGCCAGATGGAGGAATGCTGGGAATGTTGGTGTGTCGGGTTTTTCTTTGAATGTTTTAAAAAACATCAGAGAAAGTGAAGAAGCTTATAAGAAACCCTAAACTTAGTCATAAAAACATCACACAAAATCAAATAGTAAATAAATAGAGTATTGAGAAAATATTTTATTATCCTTATTTCATAGTTTACTTTCAGTTTGGATTTATTTATTTTATTTGTTTCGTTGATAGGGCAGTGCAGCTCATAAAACGGGTGTGTGTGTGTCTGTGTGATCAGGAGGGTGAGGCAGCGAGTCGGTGTGAAATTCACCACTGCAGCGCCACAAGTTTGAACCCTGAACGCACCACCAGCACATCAGCATGATGTAACATCTCATCATTAAATGACTGCAGAAAATATATAAAAATGAATCTGGGTTATATGTTTCAGCTTTTCACTGGCAAATTGTAAAGTAAATAGGACAACAAATCAAAAAGCAACATTATATTTGAAAGGGATTAAAGGGAAATTTAAAGCAATTCTTCACACAGTGACTCACCTTTCAATATCCATAGTTTATTATTACTTCCCAAATAAGTTTTGTTGTATAAGTTATACAAAAATGAGAGCTGTCTAGCAACGAAATACACCTATACACCTATATTTTTTACAGACCTGTAAAACTGAGTTTTTCCACCAAACATCCAGCAGAAGGTCCACTTTAAATCTGGTTTTTACTACTCAATGCTAATGCTACAAATGTTTCCTGTAGTATTGTTTTTGTCTCGGTCTAATTGAATCTCCAGTAAGGTACGTTTATTTATATAGCACATTTTCAGGGCAATTCAAAGTGCTTTACATCCTCATTAACACTTAACAAGAAGACAACAGAAAAGAACACAATAAATAAACATATTGGAAAAACAGATTCATAAAAACCATAAAAGAGATACAGAATAGTTTAAAAACAACATTGTAAATACGGTAGGTGCTAAAACAAGTTAAAAGACTTCAGGGTAAGCAGATGAGAAAAGTAGTGTTTTTAGCCGCGACTTAAAAGAACTCAGCGTTGGTGAAGACCTCAGGTTTTCTGGAATTGTGTTCCATCTGTGGGGACCATGAAAACTAAAAGCAGCTTCGGCGTGTTTGGTTCTGAGCCGGGGAACAATGAGTAAGCTCCAGTGTGAGTAGAAAGCCTCGCTGTAGTCTCAGGAAGCGTTCATTCCCGAGGCGTGTGTCTGCGGTTCAGCTGCATGGAGGGTGCTTTTGGTTCGTTGTCGGGGTCACCCTGAGGGCCCGAGCCACGAGGAAGCCAGATGACAGTGGAGGGGGGATGGGGGGGGGGGGGGGTTAGATGATCAAAATGCAGTCTGAGGACAGAACGTGTGGTCATGTTAAGAATGTCTGCAGAACATTAGGTTCAAGATTCAAGGCTTTTATTGTCATGTGTACATAGCTACAGTGTAGTTATGACAATTACATGTTATGTCACAGGCTCCTCCAACAGTGCAACACAATAAAACAGATAATAGTGAAAGTACAAATACAATGGATGCTTCTTAACATTCACATGAAATGAAATGTAGTCAAATGTAATGAAATGTACTTTTTAAATGTTGGCCATGAGGGTTGTGCAATAGGTCGCCATTGTCAGTATGTGCGTCTGTGTTTTGTGTTTGTTCAAACGGTGTATGACTGATGATATGTGTATGTCTCTTAATGTCTACTATGTTTGTATATGTACATGTACATGTATGCGGAACTGCAAGACAGAGTCCAGAACAAATGTCCTTACGGGGACAATAAAGTATATCGTATCGTACAGTGTAGTTGTGACAATGAACATCTTAGGTCACAGGCTCCTCCAACAGTGCAACACAATAAAACAGATAATAGTGCAAGTAAATAAAATAAAATATAATATAATAGAAATTGTGCAGAATAGTCTATATACAAGTAATTGGAATATTGATATATATAAGTTGCAAACGGATGAGTGTTATGGATGTTCTTTCAGAAGTTCAGGTGTTTATGGCCTGTGGGAGGAAACTGACTAATGTTTCTATCCGATGTAGAAATATTCCCCTCGTCTGCTGCCTGTTAGCTGTGACCCCGACCTTTGACCTCTGTTTTGAAGCTGGTTCTACTTTTCATTTGTAACTAACCGGGAGGAAGTTTAGATGTCAGATGGCCACCTCAGCGTGACCTCAGCGTGACCTCAGCGTGACCTCAACGTGACCTCAGCGTGACCTCAGCATGACCTCAACGACTAACTATAAGTGAAAATATGACTGCGATTAGATATTCTATCCTCAAGGTTCTCTCTGTGGCTTTTGATGTAACTCTCAAACACATCCTGTGGCCTTTTTCACAAATGTAACTTTGTATCACCCAGTGGAAATGGGTTAGAGCCCTGTAGAAGGCCAGTGGGTGCACATTGAGATAGAAGTGTACTTCCACATTGTGTAATTTTGTGTAGTTTCTGACCTGAAAACTCTGTTTTTTGGCCTTAAGCCTACGTGCAAACAGCGCTTTAGGTCTCTGAAAACTGAGCTTTTGTAAAAGTACTTGCAAGGAGGAAGCTTCTCATACTCCCTTTAAGTGTTGATGGTTAGATAAATAAACTAGTAAAATTGAGGTACATAAAATAACTATTTAATGCAGAAAAAGACAACAAGATTATGAGTCAAACATTTGATGCCAGAAAAACATATTTAGATTTAATAGTACGCTCTCAAATTGTCCTAAAAATGACGTGTGTGTTCTGGTTGTGTGTGTGTGTGTTCTGGTTGTGTGTGTGTGTTCTGGTTGTCTGTGTGTGTGTTCTGGTTGTGTGTGTGTGTGTTCTGGTTGTCTGTGTGTGTGTGTGTTCTGGTTGTCTGTGTGTGTGTGTTCTGGTTGTCTGTGTGTGTGTGTGTTCTGGTTGTCTGTGTGTGTGTGTTCTGGTTGTCTGTGTGTGTGTGTTCTGGTTGTCTGTGTGTGTGTGTTCTGGTTGTCTGTGTGTGTGTTCTGGTTGTGTGTGTGTGTGTTCTGGTTGTCTGTGTGTGTGTGTGTTCTGGTTGTCTGTGTGTGTGTTCTGGTTGTGTGTGTGACCTTTGCTCTCGTTGTATCTGTGAATGATCTACATCAGTGCACTCAAAGGGAAACAGACTGGGTTGCCGCTCTTTTTAGCCGGAAGGTGAAGATGTTGTGATTTAGAAAGTGAAAATCTGTGACTTTTTCAAAGAAAAGTGCAGGTGTTTCCTCTCAAAGCTTGGAGGGGAAATCCTCTCCATCACTATAGGCTTGTAATGATTGTACATTTTGAGTTTAATCAAATTGTATTTAGTTTTTTAAAGAAGATTATTTGCATAACTAGGATTTTAAAAGGAAAGTTTTCGACATTCGACAAAGTTTTCGACGTTTAGTTTAATCCGTATCTCTTCCATTTCCTTCAATCGTTGTGTATTTCCTCGTGCAGTTATTTCCGGGTCATGGATATTTGTTCCATGTATTGTCTTTGAGACGTGACCTCTGACCTTGTACCTCCTTGCTTGTGTGTCCAGAGAGTTACACAGGAAGTGACGCTGATACCTTCCTCTCTCATTTCTCTGTATTCCCCTCGTTCTCCCAAGTTCTTCCCAAACCTGGGAAGTTAAAGATTAGTGTGGCTGTGTGCAAGTGTGTGTGTGTGTGTGCAAGTGTGTGTGTGTGTGTTGTTGATGGACAGCAGGCTCAAACAGGAAGTGCTGGCGGGGCTCAGACAGGAAGAACATCTCCACAACACACTCTAATATTAGAGATCAGATATTCTCCTCAGGATGTTTGGTCGTCTGTGTGTGAGGAATGAGCTCACACACACACACACACACACACACACACACACACACACACACACACACACACACACACACACACACACACACACTTAAGTTTCCTTTTCCTTTGGACAACACATCCTCCCTGCAGTCTCCTAATTAGTTTTATTGTCTAGAAGAAGCAGCACTTTGTGATGTCTTTACAGTCTGTTTCCACGCAAGGACAAACATTCTCACTAAAGATTCTTGAGTTATTCATGTAAAGAAAGTTTGATAACATATAAAGTTTGTTTGACAGGCCTGAATATAACTTTGACTTACAGTAAGGGTGATTAGCAAAAATGTGATGAGGGAAAAAAACCTGGAAATGGAACAATATGCTTTTGTAAATATATCTGCCTTTTCAGTGAACAGTTATAACAGAAGAGAACTTATTAAACGGCAACATTACATTGAATTATTTAAAATTAATTTTAGCAACTTTTAGTGCAAGAAAAATCTGCACTCGTCTTTTCAGATCCAAAGTTTCTTATTCCTGCCATGTTTTATTGAATAAGTTATCAACATCTAAGGGCTGTCTATTAAATACATGTTTAGATTACTAATACTAAAAGCAGTAACAAAGTAGAAAAAACAATTGCCTAAGGTTTTATGTCATCTTAGTGGACTAATCAGGGGTTTTAGTATTAGTTGACTATTGACTAAGAGGGAAACCCTTACAAAAAATGAGTCCAAAATAGTAATAAAAAACATATTTTGTGGCTTTTTTCACCTTTTAAAACATACATGTGTATCTGTAGTAAACAGCTTTTTACCAGGAAATAGTATTTTCTCCAATTTAATCTTCACCGTGAGCAGAAACCCTCCTCTTTCTCTTTCCCTGGGTTTCTCTCTGTTTGTCTTCCTCCTCCCACTCCGCCCCTTATGCAAAATAACCAATGACATCACCACTACAATGGAGGGCTGTGATTGGCTGCTGGGGTGGAATATCTGCCCCTTTTGTAGGCCCCTCCCCCCCGGGACTCTCCCTCCGTCTGAAGGTGTCTCAGTGAGAGACGCCGCGCTGCTGCAGGAGGACAAACCTTTCATTCTCCCTCCATCTCCCCTGCTCCACCTCCCCCTCATTGTGCTGCTTCTTCAGACGCGTGTGTGTGTGTGTGTGTATATGTGTGTGTGTGTGTGAGCGGAGGATGGGTGGACTCCTGCACGAGGGGAAGGTGTGATATGTGAAGACGTTGACAGATGGATAAATGGAGAGAAAACAGAAGCGTGATGCTGACTCAGCGCTTTGTGCTCTGGTGAAACATTGGGAGACAGAGAGGGACTCGGACCTCTGTCACTGACCAACAGGAAGAGGAGAAGTCTCTGTTGGGACTACAGATCTAGAATCATTCCTCTACAATAATAGAAGCTGTTGCGTTTTAAAACTCAGGTTTACTCATCTGGAAACTTGAAAACTGGAACTCTCTGGACTCGTCTTACTCCGGTTGAAACTGGAGCTCCACCCTGCTGCAAGAAAGCAGAAACTCTCCCACAAACAATTACATTTCTCTGCTGAGCGTCTCCTCGATGCCTCTGTGGACGCGTCTCTTCTAGATATTTCATCATGGAGCTCCAGAGCGCCACCGCCAGCCTCCCCGGCCCCCTTTCCCCCACTTTGGACTACCCCTTGTCCCCCTCGTCAGGAGACCCTCGCCCCAGCAGCCCTCTGAGGGGTCTGAGCCCCAGCCTCAGCCCCGGGTTCTCCACCACTGCTGCCTTCAACTACAACCAGCTGGAGGGCCGCTTCAAACAGCTGCAAGGTAAGAAGGGGGCCACGGAAATCTGTACAAATGTCCCAGGAAGGAAGAAGGGGAGAGAGAAGTCCTGGAGGGGATATGTTCACTGAGATATTCTTGCAACATGTCCTTGCGTTTGGACTCTAAAAAAAAGCTTGAATTCCTAAGTTTGGTGAAATCTCGTGTGGTTACCAGAGATGTGCTCATGAGTTTATTTGGAAATAAGTCATCAAAGGAGTAGAAAGGTGACTGAATACATCTTGGTTGACTAAGGCTTAAGTGGAATAAAAGGGGGCAGCCCTACAAGCAATTGTGACAGTGTGAGTAGTGGGATAAGAGTTGTTTTTCAAAAGTAGTACCTGAAATTCAAATGCTGCAAAACCATATATTGGCTGTGAAAGTCATTCACAGACCCAGACGACAGAAAGTCTGAACACTTTAAGATAAACTTGATATCTGGTTTGAAGATGATTGATAATCAGTTAACAATCGCAAACATAACAGACGTTGGAAAAGTTAACAAAACTGCACTTTACTTTAGTTCCAGTTTCCTTTAGCGCAGGAGTGTGTTAATAATCATTGTAGTGTTTTGTGAGTGTGACTCAGCAGCACTTTATCTCGCTGTAATACAGAGAAAGTTTATCAGACCCCACCCTGTGTCTCATTCATTCAATCTCACAGATTACAGGGGCTGCTGGGTATTTAGTGCCTCGCTGACGACATTAATGTCTCTCAGTCTGCGCTCACACCCACATTCCTTCACAGAGTTGAGATGTGACCGGTGACCTTCAGCCCGTCTGCTTCTCCTTCAATTAGCTGATAATCACTCACACATGTCATATTTGATATATATGGGAAATAAGGGAGTTATAGGTAAAAGATCCATCTGTGTGACTGAATTTAAGACACATATTGGACAAAAATGAGTTTCTTTTCTGTTAAATAACGACTTTTATCTTTCAAAGAATTGCTGAGACTTAATTCCGAATTTGCAGTTACACAAAAAACGGCTATTTTCTTTGGCAAAGCCCAATTAGCGTTCTTTGAGATATCCCAACTTTGTCCCATTTTCGTATAATACCACACCCTCTATCTTTGGGCTGGTGATGAAGTCTGAGCATACCTGTAACATATAGCTGTATGGATACGAGTGTTACATACATGGTACACAAGTTTTAAAGTTACAAAGACAACACATGGACAACTATTCATGCTACCCTGAAATAACTGCACATGACCGAAAGTAGTACGTGCCATAACACGTGTATTCAAGTCAGAAAGAAGTAATGGATGACACCTTTCTTCCTGTTGCTGTCGGCTACTTTTAAGAATGAATGGAGCCATGCTGGTTCCAGGTGCGCTTACTTTCTTTTCCTTTTTAGATCTATTGGACCTTGCCCCTAATGTTAGATAGCCCTCTGTTTACTCTTCAACATTCATTCAGCTGTGAAAACGACTTCCTCTCCCAACACGTGCACAGCCTGTAATGTGAAGCACTTCAAAACTTCAACCTCTATATGTATGATGAAGTTATTATCTCTTTTCAAACCGTATGTCTATAAGAAGAGACACTTAAACACACTTTTTTAAACCTCAAGTTATTAGAAAATGATTTCAAGCTATACCATAAAATCCAAATTCCTCTTTATCAGAATATAATTAGTTCACATGGTAATGGTAATTACCTTTCTGAACTCGCTAACAACTACATATGAAGATTCAACTTATTGTCATTACGTAGTACAGGTGCTATGTAACAAAACGGTTTCTCTGCATTTGACCCATCCTAGTGTTAGGAGCAGTGGGCTGCCATTGTGTACGGCGCCCGGGGGGCAGTGTAGGGAACGGTGCCTTGCTCAGGGACACATCGGTAGCACTTGGTCTTTCCGGGACTTGAACTGGTGATCTTCCAGTTGCCAAGCCAAGTCCCTATGGACTTCGCCACCACCGCCCTATATACCCATGATATGTATACATGTAGTGCCAATTATGGCATTGATATTATATCAATATCTTGATATCAGTCTAGATATCATCTAAGATTTTTGATATCTTAATGTTATACATGTTATCTTTTCCTGGTTTTAGGCTGCACTACAGTCAAATAAAGTGTTTTCTTTAACAACCTAGTCATTATATCAACAATACTGAGGATTATTAATGTTCCTTTCTTTGAAAAGCACCAATATCCAACCCTACAATATCCATTTTGAGGTTTTTGTTGAAAAACATTGTGATATTTTATTCAAATCGCCCAGCTCTAGTACATAATGTAGCACAGCAGTTACTGAAGGAGGATTTGTCAATGTAGTCAATTGAAACACTCTTCGTCACATGAACTAATGCATCCTTGGAAAACACTATTCAATGCTTAGCAAATCACACGAAGCTATGTTAAGATCAACAATGGATGTTTGTGGTCAATAAAAGGTTTTAATACGACAACAGTTCTCGTGTGGAGGGTGTAAATGGTCGACGGGCTGAATTTAGCTGAAGGATAATGGAGCCTCATCGATGTGCTGATGCCCAGAAACCTTCAGAGGTTCCTCATATCTAAAAGTAGCTCTGTGGCTGCAGGCCAGGTGGAGGAGGACACTGCAGGTGGTGTGTGTGGTGGTGTGTGTGTGTGGTGGTGTGTGTGTGTGTGTGTGTGTGTATTTGTGTGTGTGTATTTGTGTGTGTGTGTGGCTGTAGGCAAAGAACTGTCTGATTCAGGAAACACAAAGTGGCTTTGACTCGAGGTTTAGTTTTAATAAGAGAAGATGAGCCCGGGTGTCAACGTGCTCCCTGATTATCTTCCTGATTGTAATGCCATACTGACGGTGTATACACTAAATGAAAAGCTTTCTTACTACCCATTAAAGGCTCATTTATTGACGATGTTTCTATCATCCATTAGGAGCCAGTTTGCACCTCAGGGTCATTCAGCTAAAAATATATTTCCCAGAAGAAGAGCATGATGTTAGTGGTTTGAAGACGCATGGGGTCATCGGAAGTCTTATTGATGAAGTTTGACTTTGTGTGTTGTTTAGAGAAAGGGTGGATTATCCCATGTGTTATCGTTAAAGGATCATAAAGGGATCTGTTTAGATGTGGGTTTAATTGTTGCTGTTGTGAGAAGAGTGACTTCAGGTAGACAAACTTAAAGATCTGACTTATTGCAATAATTCATTTCTGACCATCTGTGTACGTTTTAGTGTTCGCATCACTTTTAATCTGCGTTACATTGTTAGGAGATGTATTCTTGAACATGCTGAGAATCCTTGAAAATAGAGGTGATAATTACTTACTTACTTTATACTTCTATAGTGGGCTGTCAAGTTAACGCGTTAATATTCTTTTTTTAACGCCACTAATTATTTTAACGTGCGATTAACGCATGTGTATTTGTCCTCGGCCCGCCCCGTAGTTTCAGAGCCCAAAGGCTTGACGTTGTTTTGTTGTTGTCAGTTGGATGGTGGGGGGGGGGGGTGCTAGTGAACTGTCAACGGGGGGGAAGCTTCGCTGCAGGGAAACGGCAGACCTCTGTCGGCGCAACTTCGATGAGGCCGTTTAAAAACATAATAAAGTAAGGGCAAACCGAGCCGGCCGTCAGCGGTACTTGACGACCTGCCGTTCTGTGGTTCTCCAGATTCTACAGACGGCCAGTCCGCCCCTGCTGACAGCCTCGCCCCTGCTGACAGCCCCGCTCCTGCCGCTCGCTTGCGGCAGACTACGCTTGAAAGTTTGCCGGGGAGACGCCTGGACAACAACAGCGATAGCTAATTGGGTGGCTACAGCTTAACATTGTGGAGGACGAGGGGCTGCGTTAGATCATTCGGATCGCATCCAACGTGTCGACTGCACATCACAGCGCATTATTTTGACCCACAGTGGGAACTTCAGTCTCATGCTTTGACTGTTATGAAGACAGAGGAGCGGCATTTCGCCGACAACTGTAAACAGGCTCGTCTGTTTGAGCACCTGGCTCAGTGCAAAGAAGTACACAGGGTTGGGAGAGAGTGTCATGGCGCGTTTCCACTACACGGCCTCGCTCGGCCTCGCTCGGTATGGCTAGGCCTCGTTAGGACTGGCTCACTTTATGGCGCATTTCCATTACAGTTTAGGAACTGGGGTAGTATCTATAGTAACGCAGTGTAGGCGGAGCCGTGACGTCATCTTCAATGAGAACCCCAGAAAACCAACACAGCCATTAGCTGTTAGCACTCAGAGCTCACAGCTCCTCATATATGTTCAGAAACTAGACAAAAGTTAAACAAGTACAAACCACAGACTGCCTGTGTCATGGCGAATACAGTCGCTGGTTTATTTATGTCTGTAGGCCGTTGTTGTGAGTGTGGACGGTCGGAGCATATACTGCGTTAGCTTAGCCAATCTCCATTTAGAAAACACGCATTTTAAAAGGTTTTTCGCCTGCCGTCTGTCTGCAGACTTGTCAAAGCATTAATTCATGGTTTTTACTAACCGGTATCAGTATGTTGTTACTTCGGCATCATTTTGAAACGTGTATTACAATTAAATCACGGTCAAATATGTCCATCTTGTTGTAGTTGTAGCCCCCTTGCCAGCGATGCTCTCTCTAGTTTAGCATACTCAGCCCGACTCAGCCTCGTTGTCTCTGGCCCTAGACCCACGATTTTATGAGGCCAGAAAAACTGTGAATTGGGACCCGCCGGCCGGTACTAGGCCAAGTGGAAACGCAACCAAAGACGGGCCGCTGACGTCACAGCCCTCTTAAACCGTGCTCCGCGCTGTAGTGGAAACGCGCCATAAGAGAGAGAAAGAGGTTCCAGGTTGTTGTGTTGAGAATATTCAGGAGAATATTTGTCATTGTTCCAATGATAATAAACAAACATTTGCATAAAGCATATTTGTCCACTCATGTTGATAAGAGTATTAAAAAATTGAAAAATATTCCTCTAAGGTACATTTAGAACAGATAAATCGCGATTAACTATGGACATCATGCGATTAATTGCGATTAAATATTTTAGTCGACTGACAGCCCTAATTTATACACGAGA